TGGCATAGGGAAGGAGGTGGCCCACCTTCCTCTGGTAGATGGCGATCCAGTCAGTTGTGGCAAACCACTTGTGGTTCTTGATATCGTTGACCCCATTCTTGAGGTTCCCGAAGCGTTTGGTGAGGTCCACCTGCAGCAGGTTCCGCAGCAGATCCTTCAGGTCAGAGCTGAAGTGGGATGGGAACCGCACCTGGAGAGGGGGTTAACACAGTCAGGGTGGGGGACTTGTCTGGAGTCTGGGGAATCCCAGAATGCTGCCTTTGCTACCTAAGAGTCCTCCCAGATGGAGAATCCCCAACTTAAGTGTGCTTTAGGATCCCATTAAAAAAGCTTGTTGAGGGGTGCCTGGGTGGCTCAGCCAGCTAAAGCATCTGCCTTCAGCTCAGGTCATGATCCCGGGGTCCTGGGATCGAGCCCCACGTCAGGCTCCCTGCTCACAGTGGGGAGCCTGCTTCTCCCTCTCCCTCTGCCTGCCACTCCCCCTGCACGTGCTCTCTGTGTCAAATAAAATATTAAAAAAAAAAAAAAAGCTTGTTGGGCCCACTGGAGTTTGATTCAGGAGGTCTGAGAACCTGTATGTCTAGCCTGTTCCTCGGCCATGCTGATGCTGCTGGACAGGGGGCCACCCTGGGAACTGCTGTTCTAAGGTAAACCCTACAATGGTTCCCGTTTTAGAGACGAGGGAACAGGCTCAGAAGGGTTAACAGCCTGCCTAAAGTCACACAGAGGAGCGGGACTGGGGGCTTTCAACTTGGGTCTGTTGGACTCCAGAACTTGCATTCTTAGCTACTGCTTCCTAAGGCAGCTCTGCCGGGGTCTGGGGACTTCTGAAACATCCACGGTTAGGAGAGAAATGACTGTTTTTGTTTCCCCCTCTCTCTCCATAGCTAAGACTCTTCCACTCTTTAAGGCTCACTTCAACTCTTCCAGAAACTTCCCCAAAGCCTTGTTTGCAAGTAGTCACTGGATTTATAGCCGCCAAGAACTAAGTTCCAGCACTGCTCTACATTTTACACGCTGTTATGACCTTGGCCATGGCCCTTACCCTCTCTGGGCCTGTGCCTGCCTCTCAGGCAGGGGGCAGATATCCCAGCGTTGCATGAGGGAAGAGAATACCGCTGAGGGCGCGTGGGAACTGTAAAATGCTACAAAGAAGGGAGTTATGCTCATCTTCTCCTCTCCTCCTCAGAACCGTCTATGGTTTTTTCCTTTTCTCCCCGTCCCCCACCCCCTCCACTTTGGGCCATTTTCCCTGCAATTTCTTTTCAGCCTAGTGGCAGACACCTCGTCTTTCTCTTTTTAGTAACCCGTCGCAGCGGATTTCTTTCTCAGAGGAGCAAGTGTCTGGTACCCCAGTTCTCATATGGGTAAGGTGAGGCTCAGAAGGGCAAAGGCACTTGCCCGAGGTTTCAAAGTCAATGGGTGGCTGAGCTGGGACGTGGAGCCAGGTCGGCACCCCCAGGCTGAACTGGGAGCTGCTTCCACTAATTCCCAGGCCAGGTGGAAGGATGGCTGGGTCCTCCCAGCCAGGTAGTGAGCTGAGGGCAGAGGCGGGGTTCCCAGTCTGTCCTGAGCCCTTGGGGCCTGTGATGATGCTCTCCAAGCCTGAGCTTCATCACTCCTTCCAAGTGCTGGGGTACAGCTGAGCAGGGTACATCGTGCGGCAGTGAGCACATCTGCACTCTGTGACAGCTCTGCCACCCCAACCTGTACCCCAAGAGTTAGCAAGTCTGCATTTGGGAGAGGAGGCATGGGCTGCATCCCCTAAGTGACCCTGCAGGGTCTGGAGCGGCCCCCGGGAACTGCACACGGTTGCTTCCTGCTGTGAAACTTGTGGAAACTCATGCTCAGTGGGATGACCGGAGGCAAGCAGAGTCTCCTGTCGGGCAGGGAAGGTGTTCGGGTGAGGCCTGGGGTTCTGGAAGCCCTGGAAATATCAGCAGTGTGGGTCCAGGATTAGACGGGGAGGTTGTGTGAGGTGCTGGCCTGTTCATGTGGCTGGTGCGCCCAGCTTCACTGCTTGGCCTAACTTAATGAACTTCTAGATTGTTCTGACACCATATGCAGGGCTCCATGGTGAGCAGAACTGGTGGGGAAGGGTCTGTGTAGGGGCTTAGTCCCTGTATCCAGGCCTCACCTTCCCAGAGACAATCTTCTCATAGATCTGGATGGGCTGGTCAGCGAAGAAGGGCGGGTAGCCAGCGGCCATCTCGTAGATGAGAACCCCCAGGGCCCACCAGTCCACAGCCTTGTTGTAGCCCTAGAGTGAGAAGTGGGGGGTATGGTGTGAAGAGAGGAGGGCGAGGAGGGGTGCAGGTGGAGTAGGCCTCAGGGCAGTGGGATGGGCGGGGAGGTGCCTACTTTGCTCAGGATGATCTCCGGGGCCAGGTACTCAGGGGTCCCGCATAAGGTCCAGGTGCGGCCTTTTACACGCTTGGCAAAACCGAAGTCTGTCACCTGCAGGCACAAGAACGGGCTGTTGGCCAGGAAGGAGACAGGGAGGGGGAGGATCCAGCCCATGGCCGCCTGGGCCTGCCCCATGCCCGTCCTGGTGGGCACCTGAATGTAGCCCTGCTGGTCAATGAGGAGGTTCTCCGGCTTCAGGTCCCGGTAGATGAGGTCAAGTGAGTGCAGGTACTCGAAGGTCAGGACGATCTGGGCCGCATAGAAGCGGGCATGCGGTTCACTAGTGGGGATAATTGGGGAGGGGACAGGTGAGTGTGGGTGGTTATGCCCAGCATGACCTCCCCACCCCCAAATGGTCTAGCAGCTGGGCCTTCAGAGCCGCCCCAAACACATAAGCAGAGCAGACTTCTTCGTATATGGTCCCACACGGGAAGGAGCCCGCATGTCCATCAACAGAGGAACACAATCAGACTGTGGTAGCTTCATACAGTGGAATCGTACCCAACACCACTGCCAGGAAAAACGATGAATACACTCAACAACGTGGCTAGATGTCAAGATGATTATGTGAAGCAAGAGAAGAAAGGAACAGAAGAATATAAACGGTGTGATTCCATTTATATCCAGCCCAAACCCAGACCAAACACATTTATGGTGTTTGAAACCAGAAAGGACAACTGCTTTCTTCAGGCGGCAATTTGCCAAGAACGGGGTTCGAGGGATTTTCTGGGGTGATGGAAATGTTCTCTATGGTATTTTGGGTGGTGGTTTCCCAAGTGTATGCAAATGTCAAAACGTTAAGCTCCTGTGCGTTCTGTCGTATATAAAGCACATATCTACATAACTAAGGTAAATGATAGCATGAATTTTAAAACTGCCAACTTAAACAGTGAGACCAAAGTCACCGTGCTTCTTCTGTTTTGTGGGGGCTGAGAAATCACAGATTCCTCGGCTCAGGGGCAACAAGAATCCAGACAGACTTGGAGAGCCCACGTCACCTCCCAGATGGCTTGGTCATGCGACGACACCTGTGGGCACACCCGGGCCCACTGTGGCAGGGGCTGGCCAGCTCACCTGAACCTTCCGATCCGCCGCAGGTGCGAGAACATCTCCCCGCCAGGCACATACTCCATGACCATGTATAAATTCGAGTTGTCCTATGGGAAACAGTGGCTGATCAGGGGCCCATCTGAAGGCCTGGTGCCTTTACATGGTGGGTGTTCCAGAATAAAGCGACAACAACAATCTTGGCTCCCATACGAAGCCTGTTCGCAGCGCCAGGCACTATACTCCCTGAGCCTCCTGGCTCATTTCCTTCCGCCCATGAAGAAGAAGGGGCAGCTGGGATCCTGCTCACAGGGGGTGAAAGTGAGGGCCGGCAGGTGGGGTGGGAGGGGCCCAGCCAGTGTGCCTGGGCTGGGGAGAGGACTCTGGGGCATCTCACGTCTGCGACTGTCTTCACTGAAGCTTGAGGTCACAGTTTTCTCACCTGCAAAACGGGCCTAGGATGGGCTACAGAATTTGTGGGGCCCCAGAATAAAACTGTGAAGCCCCTTGTTAAAAAAAATTATTGCAACTTTTAGGATGACAGCAGCTGAGCTTTAAACCAGGCATGGGGCCCTTGTGACTGTCTGGGTCTCAGGCCTCGAATGGCTTTCCCCAGATCTTGCGGTCACAGCTTAGGATAACACCCAAAATAGCTCACGGAGGGTGCTCACATTGTGCTTGGAATGGTCATGGCCACCCCATTAGGTGGGGAGTGTTGGGATCCCCACTTTATAGACAAGGAAACTGAGACTCACGGCAGTCAAGCCCTGCACCAGCATCACACAGCCTGGAGGAGCACAGAGCTGCGCTTCGAATCCAGGCTGTGTGGCGCAGTTTGGGCCTAGAGTCGTGCATGCGTCAGGTGCTTTGCTGTAAAATGGAGAGGTGGTTTGGAGGGATGTCAGCCAGGTTGGGTGATCTGCCCCAGGTTCTCAAGCTAGAAACTGGTGGGCCCAGGAGTTGAACATGGGTCTACCACAGTCTCAGGCTGACTCCTGCCCCCAGCATCCCTCCTCTGGGACTCTCCTCCTTTCCCGTTAGTGGGCCTGCCTCCTTGGGCAGCCATGGCTCATCCTCGGCCCCCACCCTAGCTCTGGGAGCCCCGGGGCTGTACCACCTAGCAGTGGCCCCGGCCCCCGGGCGCTGGGACCCCACCTTGAAGGAGAACTCGAGTTTGACGAGGAACGGAAAGTTGACCGCTTGCAGGATGCGCTTTTCGTTCAGGGTATGCTCGATCTGTTTCAGCTTCACCACCTGTGGGGGTGGGAAGGGAGGTAAGAGTGGGTCTGAGAGGGTCCTCCTCTTCCCCGATGCCCAGAAGTAACCCCCTGGGCTGGGCTGGTCCCTTTGAGTGACCACAGCCTGTAGAACCTCGGGCTGGATGCTGAGGACATACTGAGAAGGCAGAAGCTGCCTGTCCCCGCATGGCATGCAGTTCAGGGCAAGAACACGAGTCACCAAGCCTCATGGCCCAGAAGGGTCAGAGCCATGGTGGGGGGAAGCTCGGGGCCTGCGGATGCCCAGGTAAGGGGCCTGGTAAAGTCAGGGGGACGGGGGAGTCAGAGAAGGCTTCCTGGAGGAAGGGGCAGCTAAGCTGAAACCAAAAAGACAAGCAAGAGTGGTGCCTAAGAGATATTTAGAAATACTTTCCCTGCATCCAGAGCACCTTCCCCACAGCCACTCAAACCCCACACTGATTCTTCCTCAGCTGTCCCCAGCAGGTGCCTCACACATAGTGACAAGAGCCCTGAGGGGTATGTGCTGTGAGCATGGCATTTTGGAAGACCCAGATGCAGAGAAGGGAAGTGACTTGCCCAAGGTCACCCACAGCTAGTCAGTGTCAGGACCGCATGTCACACGCAGGCAGGCTGGCCCCTCGGTCAGCTCTGATCTGCTGTGCTAGGGCTTTTCCCACTTTGCTCACAGCTGTATGCTCCAGGTCTACACCTGCGCTGTCCAGTAAGTCCACACTAGCCACGTACAGCTGCTGAGCACTCGAGATGTGGCTAGTTGCCTGGGGAACCAAGTTTAAAATTTTAAGTTTCTAAAATGAAAATTTAAAAACGAACACTCGAGGCAGTTACTGGGTGACTGTTAAGACTGAATGGAACAACGCGGGATATGTGAATCTGCTTTTCTAACCTCTCTGCTTTTTCTTGTTTTTCTAGTGAAAACTGAACATCTGAACAGAGATGTAAGTGTAAAATACACACTGGATTCTGAAGACTTCATACAGAAAAAAAAATGAGAGATCTCATTAATGGTATTTTTATACTGGCTACGTATGTTGAAATTATAATATCGTAGATATACTGGCTTAATTAGAGCACATTGCTGAAATTAATTCTACCTGTTTCTTCTTGCTTATTTTTTTTTAATTTTAATTTTTTTTAAAGATTTTATTTATTTACTTGACAGAGAGAGTAGCAGAGGGAGAGGGAGCGGCAGACTCCCTGCTGAGCAGGGAGCCCAATGCGGGGCTTGATCCCAGGACCCTGAGATCATGACCTGAGCCGAAGGCAGACGCCTAACCGACTGAGCCACCCAGGTGCCCCTCTTTTTACTTTTTAAAGGGGGGGTGGTTCTACAAAATTTAAAACCATATATGGCTTGTATTACCTTTCTGTTGAACATGCTACCCTACAGCAGTGCCTGGCATAAAGTAGGGTCTCAAAAATATTTACAGAAATAAGGTCTGTGGGGTGCCCGGGTGGCTCAGTTGGTTGAGCGTCTGCCTTTGGCTCGGGTCATGATGCCAGGGTCCTGGGATCGAGCCCTGTGTTGGGCTCCCTGCTCAGTGGGGAGTCTGTTTCTCCCTCTCCCTCTAACCCTCCTCCCCACTTGTGCCCCCTCTGTCTCAAATAAATAAAATAGAAAGAACGAAAGAAAGAGAAAGAAAGAAAGGAAGAAAAGAAAGAAAAGAGAAAAAGAAAGAAAGAAAGAAAAAAGAAAGAAAGAAAGAAAGAAAAAGAAAGAAAGAAAAAAAGAAAGGTAGGTCGGTTGGTCTGTGAGGGGCGCCTGGATGGCTCAGTTGGTTAAGCATCTGCCTTTGGCTCCGGTCATGACTCCAGGGTCCTGGGATCGAGCCCTGCATTGAGCCCCACATCAGGCTCCCTGCTCAGCGGGGAGTCTGCTTCTCCCTCTCCCTCTCCCACCCCCCTACCCCGACTTGTGCTCTCTTGCTCTCTCTCTAATAAATAAATAAAAAAAAATTAAAAAAAAAAAAAAAGAAAGAAGGTCTGTATAAATACAATACTTTCCCCAGGAAGACTTCTGGCTTCCTTGATACAGGCTAGGTGTCTGAACCCGTGTCCTCTGCCTGGACCCCCATCAGTGGCTGGTCTGGAGGGGAAGCTTCATGAAGGCAGCATGGGTGCTTCTGAACCTCGGGTCTGGCACATTATGAAGGCTCAGGAAACAGTTGGTGAATGACAGACGGGAAGACCAGTCAGGCTGTGGGAACAGTCTGAACCAAGGCCTGGTGCGGGGCGGACGGTGACCTCCTGGCCGGGCTGTGCTTACCTTCTGTTTGTCGAGGATCTTCATGGCAAAGTGGTTCCCGGTCTCCTTGTGCTTCACCAGCATCACTCGCCCAAAGGAGCCCGTGCCGAGGGTCTTGATCCGTTCAAACTGATCCAAATGGGCTGTATTCTGTGGGCAGAGGGGTTGGGAGGGTCAGGGACCCCCTCCAAGTGGGGGCAAGGCCAAGGTCCAGGGCATGCCCTCTGCCACCAGCAGAGGGGGCCCTGGGGAGGGGGTGGAATGATGGGGGTAAGGACAGGGGGTGGAAAAACAAGATGGCGAAGGACACATTCCTTAAGGCGGGTGGCAGGGGCCAGATCCGGCCCTGGCCCGGGGCCCAGGGACTACTGGCAGCTGCGTGGGGGGCAGGGACCACCAGGTGGAAGGGGGTGGTGGGGTGGGGGTGCGTGCCAGTGGGTGATTGTGTGCCTCTGCCCAGGAGCCCCCGCTGGCATCTAGGGAGCAAATGGGGTCAGGTCTGGAGCCCTCCACAGGGCCCTAAAAATCCTCACCATGTTACAGGGACATGGCTGGAGGGTGGGGGACCATCAGCTCACCCCTCTCAGGGCTCTGCATCCAGGGGGCTTACCTGAGCAGGATTTTCCCATTTTTTAAGAAAATCTTCTTTGGCTTTGGCTAAGAACTCTTTCACTGAAAGGAAAAGAGAGAGAGCGTTAGTTAGAGACCCCATCTTATCGGGGTGGGCCTCGGCTATTCCTGGGGAGATGCCCATTTGTGCAAAGTGGGGGGCAGCTGTCTCAACCTAGAGACTGACCTTTTCCCAGTAGCTTCAGGTGCCCTGGCTGAGCTGGAGGGCAGCTTTGGGGGGCCCTGATCTGGGCTGGGGGCCTGGGCCCCCTTTACTCAGAGAAGTGGGATATAGCCTCAACTCTGTCCCAAATGGGGTGCAAGGTGACTCGGGGGTTACTCTTAGGGGTATAGAGAGTGACGCCCAGGCCAGCCCACCCCCACTTGCCCCAGTTCTGACCGACATTCCATGGCCAGGGCCGACGCCAGCCAAGATATTTATAGCCTGGGGATTTGGCTGCTCCTCCAACCCCTTCTCTGGGGAGGCCGGGCCCTGGGTGGAGGCCTCTGGGGCTCGGGTAGCAGGCGCCCTTGGGGGGCTCAGCTGTTGCCTTGGCCCCCAGCTGGCCCCATTCCCACCTTTGCCAGTCCAGGGGTCCTTCCTCCAGAGCTGGTTCGAGGGGAGCCTTACCCTACGCCCACACCCCACGGGCCCTTCAGCACCCCAAGGCGAACATCACCATCCGGCTAATGGTGAAGACTTCCTGGTGGACCCTGGGCCTGCTCACTTGGTTTGCCTACTAACTTTCCTTTTATCCATTCTTCCCATTTAACGCCCTAGGAAACTGAGGCTTGAAAACAGGCATTCTTGCCAAGGCCAAGAAGGAGCCCAGCAAAGCAGTTAAGGGCCAGAACTCTGGGACAAGATCAAGTTCAAATCCCAGCCTGGTCTCTGATGAGCTGTGCAACCTTAGGCAACTGACCTGACCTCAGTTTTCCTCATCTGTAAAATAGGGATAATACTAGTAACGACCTGGTAGGATGGTTGTGAGGACTGAATGAATTAATCTTGGCAAAAGGGGTTGGACAGTGGCTGGTATGGGGTTAATGCGATATAAATGGCAATTACTGATTTTGTTTTTAGGTATTTCTAAAAACTGAGGTATGAAATATAGGGCGTGGGGGGTACATTGACCTTTCAAGCTCTAAATGTACAGCTTGGTGCATTCTTGCATTACAGACCAGCCCTTGTAACCACCCCCCGGGGCCAGGCACGCTGTTCAGGGACCCTTCCTGTGTGCCAGTCCTGTGCTGAATGCTTTCTGTGCTTAATTCCTACCCTAATGGGTCAGACCTGCTGTACCTCTCCTTGTACAGATGGGAAGACTGACCAGGCCTGAGGTGGCCTGCCGGACCTCAATGCCCACAAGATTAACTGCTTCGCTCCCGCCTGGTGGCAGTGCACAGGGTGGCCCACAGACGGAGCTGTCTTCTACCCCTTGACACCTGCCACCCTGAGGGGTCCTACGCGCTTGTACTTTGGCATCTCTGTCATCTGCCTGGACTACCCAGACACAGCGCCAGGAATCCCACACAGCCTCATGGGTGGCCACCACTCCCACCGTTCCCAAGACTCCCCTCAGCGTTTGGAGGGAAGAACCTTCCATGGGGTTGCAGGAACGGCAGACGGAGGAGAGACTGTTGGCCAGGAAAGCCTAAAAATGAGTGGCTGGGCAGAGAGCGGGCAGTCAAGGAATGGCCACGAGTCCTAGGCTGGACCTGGCTGGGCCATCAACTGCTTGAGACCTCTCTGAGCCTGGGGGCTGCACCAAATCCAGTGCTTTCCCTAGCAGAATCTATTTTGATGCACAACACCTTCCTTGGAAACCTCCAAACATAAACACTGAATTCTGGATGAAGGTGGCGGGGGAGAGGGTACCCTCTTGGGACTTCACCTTTGCCCACCTAACAAGGCAACGGAAGGGGTGTGGGAAGAATCCAGGAGAATGCCTGGTCCTGCTTCCCTGTTTGCTCTCAGCCCTCCCTGAGAACTACCATATTCTGCTTTTTCCTGACTTAGTGGGCCTGCCTTTGGCTGTCTGCTGGTACCCCACTGAGAGGCTCCATGGGTGCCTTGGTCCTAGTACAGCTCTTCTCTAGACTCTCAACGTACTAAAGGGCCCAAACTGTGTCCCCTCTGGTGCCATCGGCTTGCCAGATTTTGGGCACCGTGGGGAGCGGGGGACAGTGCCAGAAGGAGTGGGCAGATAAAGAGGGATAATGATGGGGGAAGCCCCAGCCAGGAGCCCCCATACTCACCTCTGCTTCCTATGTCTTCCAGCAGAGGGTGCAATGAAGGGTGGAGAGGGATAGGGTGATGTGGGACCCATCTACCCCGGCCAGGGAGGCTCAGGGTGCTGGCTGTGGCTTACGTGCCCAGAAGGTGTGGTGCAGGTAGCCCAGGAAACGGAGAGTCAGGTGGGCCCAGAGAAGCAGCTGCAGCCACAGCTGGAAGGTGGTCTCCGAGTCACTGCCCTGGCCACTGCCTGACCCCACATCCATCCCAGGCTGCCCTGAGCCCTCCCTGGAATCCTCCCTTTGCAGGGAAACCAGGAACACGCAAGGCCTCTGAGCTGGCTTCCTCTGAAGGGCCTCAGGGGACCAGGGAGGAGGAGCCGGTTGCCAGGGAAGCATTTAAAGGTACCTGCTCCCGGCTGGCCAAGGTTTGCGAAGGCCCTCCTTAGCAGAAGGCAGTGGGAAGATTCTCCTGAGGGTGTCCCTTCTGGCTGGCCTGGCTGCCCCAGGGGTGGAGTGCTAAAGCTAACTTCCTGTTCCAGGGACTTCACTGCTCCCAAGATGCCAGGTCCTGCCGTCCTCAGTGGGTGCTGAACTACTCAGAGGATGGCACCGAATGTGCCCAGGGCAGTGCCCACTGGGCAGAGGGGAAGGAGTTAAGGTTCAGACCCAGGCAGCAGCTAGGGGCTCCCTGGGGCCAAAGAGGCCCCAGAGCTCCATTAATTAGCTGAAAGAGCAGATGGAGAGAAAGAAGTGGTGGGGACGGGCGCAAGAGCCACCCTATCTCCTCCCCTAAGTCCTCTTTGAACCTGGAGGCCCCAAATCCTGTTACCCCAAGAGAAAAATGGGTATATCTGGATTTGTCTTGCTCCTATGTGGGGGCAGAGAGGGGACTAACATCGCAGGATGTCCTTGGCCTCTGTCAAACCTTGCCCCGTGCTTGGCTCTGCTTTCAGCCATGAAAGTCCAACCGGAAACGAAAGGCTAAACCTAGGGGTGGGGGAGGGGAAGGCAGCCTCGACCATCTTCCTCCTTCTTTCCACATCCCAAATAAAGTGGAGGGTCAGTGGCAGCTTCTCTGAAAGTGCCCAGCACCCGTGGCCCCTGCTGACAACAGGAAGTGGCAGAGAAGGGAAACCCAGCCAGCTGCTGGCTTATGAAACCCGCCCCCCTGCCATGTCTCCCCCGAGGGATGGAGGGGTGGTTGCCAGCCTCCACTCTGGTCTGGATTCGATTTGGGCTAACAGAGAGAACCCCAGACACCCCTCAAAAAGCCAGGACCACAGCAGGAGGCAGGAGCCCAGCCTTGGACACCCCAGACAACAATCTCAGCACACTCAGCCCTCTGAAACCTGTTTGTCTGGGACACGGATGGATGGGACCCCTATTCTGGACTGGATCGCTCCCCAGGCGGATGGACACCCATTCTGTACTGAACCATCATCCATTATGATCTGGACTCCACCACTGAGCTGAACCAACCCCCATTCTGAGCTTAACACAACACTGGGCTGGACCACCCCACCGCCTTGGTCTGAGCTGGACCCCCTGTGCTCGTTTTGGCGGCACATATACTAAAACTGGGCTGGACCCCCGCTCTGGGTGGAACGCCCCCCCTTGTCTGAATGGGGCCACCCATACCTCTGCTTTTCCCCAGGCCCCCAAGCTCAGGGTTGTTAGTCAGGGAGAGGTTTCCAGGGCTAGCCAGGGGTCTACAGACTCTTCCTCTCCACCTGTTCCTGAAACTCCACTGCAGCCCTTCCCTGGCTTGAGGGGCAGAGAGTGCCTGGGAAGTTGCTATAGCAACAGGGCTCATCCTCACCATCGTTGGGGTTGGAAGCCATCACTCAGTCTTCCTCTCAGGGCACCAAGACTACGGTGGCTGGGAAGGTTCATGAGACCTGCTGTACCAGCTTGGCTGCCCATCCCCAAGACTCCATCTATAGGGGGAGGCAGGGAGTTGTGGGGTGGTGGCAGGAAGAAAAGCCAACTTAGGGACCAACGGGTACAGGGAAGGGACAGATAGGACCCTCAAGCTTCTGTAGGCCTGACTGGGCTAAGGGAAAAGCTGCCTTGGCAGGACCCTCTTGGGCACCCATACAACTGCCAATGCACAGAAGGTGCTTGCTGCTCTCAGGCTTCTGTAGGATGTTAGAGGGCCTCCATTCTTCCTATCCAGGGACCTCTTGGGGGCACTTCTCACAGAGCCTGGATCTGCTTGTCCCTGGGACCTGGAGGGGTATCTGGGGGCTCCCTTTCACCAGCCCCGCCCCTTCTGTGGGCCAGCTCCCAGGGGTGCCTTCGGCCAGTGCCAGCCAAGGCCTGAGCTCCACTTGGCCGCCCGTCCCCAGGCCTCTTGGGAGGCCTTCTCTCGGTTCTCCAGCTTGCTCAGAGCTCAGAGCTTGGTCTTTTTTATATGTTCTCTTAGCATCTTCTCCGGGCCCCTGCCAATGGCTTTGGCATCTTTGGGTTAAGATTTCTCCCACCCCACCCCACCAGGGCTTGTTCTCGATCCCTGCCCTCCTGGGAGGAAGCTGACACTGTGTCCTGCCATGGAGACAGGGGTACAGGGGGCTGCAGGATGCCTGACTGGTGTCTACTATGGCTTGGGCGTTTTCCTGACCCAGGTCAGGCTGAAAGCTGGCAGATGAAATTCAGGTGCCCCCTGCAGGCTGGCCTGGCTACTGCCCCCGCCCCCACCCCCACCGCACCCTGGTTACAAGACGGCAGATTTTGTCTTATTTCATCCTTTTGGACTCAGAGCTTCAAGGCAAAAAGGGGCTTCCTCTCTCATCCTATTTCCTTTTCTAAGAGCCCCTGTAAGCCTCTGGAAGGACGTACAGCTTGGGGCATCTCCCAAAGTGTGACATGGGTCTCACTGGCAGGGCATAAAATGATTTTAGGGATGTTTCACTTTTCCAGTTACATTGTATTTTAATGTGTATCAGAGAGAATATGACTAGCATACCAATCTCCTGATTTCATTTATATTATTGCTCAGGACAGATCAAACTTTACATCTGAACAAAAGTGGGTCACAACTTTATTATTTTAAATTAAGAAAATATAAGTGAATAGAGTAAAAATCAAGGAGGCAGCTTAAGAAAGAATGTCTGGGTCAGGAAATTCTGGGGTCTAGGAAATTGGCTGGTAAGTGGATCTGGATGTGAATCCTGCCTCTTTGACATAGTCCGTGTCAAACTCAGCGTGTTTGGAAAATTCGGAGAAAACCCAGTTATGAAAATCACTCCAGCCGATAGATCTATGGAGACCATTTAGCCTGGCACATCCTAGATGCCCAATAAACAGTAGCTCTGTTTCACTGTGGTAGTCCACTTCTGGGTGTCTGGCCTGTGTTCTGGGAGAATTAGCGGTTCCTTCCAGAGCCTCTCTGATCTTTTTCTCGGGGATCCTTTTCCCTGTGCGGCTTTCCGCCCCACTCTGCATGTGTTTGATATGCCTTGAAAGTTTTCCAGGACGATGTCATCTCCCCAACTTTCAGCTGAGCTACTGCAATATATAGCTACTTGCCTCCACCTTCCACCTCCCAGCCGGCCTCACCTGCTGGGGGCCCCAGCCCCTCCCCCTCTGCCTAGTCCCCTCCAAGCTCATGCCCAGACCTTTTTTGGTCACTACCCACCTGCTCCTCTGTCATCAAGTGCTCAGCTACAGGCACTTGCCTCCCTGTCCCCCGCCCATTGGTGACATGTCAGGCCTTCCCATGGCTGCTTGGTGATTCTGAGTTCTGCCATTTGAATCCGTATGGGAATAAAGTTCCCTGGGTTTCATGCCTGCATCTTTCTGGGACAGGGTATTCAAAGGACTCAGATGCTGGGGTCTGAGATCAGAAACTGGAAAGGGCATATTTGGACATGGCCTCCTTTTCAGCTCTGAGTATTCTGGGTAACTGGAAGGGGATCCTAGCTAAGCTCCAGCTATAGGTCTGGAGTGATGACAATTTAAGACCCGGGGGAACTGAGGAAGGGGCTTGAGGTCATTTCTGAAGGCATTTCCAGATACAGAATTTCTCTGGCTGGAAAAGGCCAACACCAACATAATTTGGGGGCTGAGGGGGAAACAGGCCTCTCTCTGGCTGAGCCCTGGGAATGATCAGAATCTATTTGTCCCTTGGCAAAGCAAGTCATTAGATGTCAGTTACTACTCTCCCCAACTGTCATGCTTCAAGTCCCCTTTCTCACCATCCCAGCTCAAGCTGAATGAGCCCTGCTAAACCCAGACACTTCATACCCCACTTTTCATCCTGGGCCAGGAGAGGGTGAAGAAGCCCTGGGGACTGGGTGAATGACGGAGCCTCAGTTGTAAAACAACCATTTGTTTAGGGGCACTCCAAGAAGCCTAGAGCTCACTGCATAGCAGGAGATGGGAAGGAGCTCTGCTGCACCCCGCCCCCCCAAACCCAGGAAAGAAGATGCAATGAATCCCAGCAAGACGGGCTCAAACTTGGCTTTGGAAGCACTGAAGCAGTTCTCTAGGTTCATAAACAGTCTGCTACCTCAGCCAGGGACAGACGTTTGCTTGGAGGAGGGAACACAGGCAGAGAGGCAGAGTGACAGAGTGACAGGATGAGAGAGGGGCAGAGGGACCCAGAAAGATCCTGTCCCCCATGCCAAGTGACACAGAAGGGAAAAACAATGCTGGAGGAGGCTCTGGGAAATGCTTAAGGGGGGCAGCGTGGGTTTGGAGGGGGGCTGTGATAAGGTGAAAAGGGGAAGGGCAGGAGAAAGATGGCGGGGGCTGGAGGGGGGAGGGGTGTGGTCACTAAGTGGCCAAGGTCCCTCCGGGGTGGAGGCAGACCCCACAGCACTCCCAAACTGGCAGGAGCCTGGGTCGGGGTCTGGCAGTGGGTTCCATCAGTGGGAGAGGTGAGTGAGGAAGTGGGGGGATTAGAATCTGGGAAGAGGGGCCAGGAAAGGAGGGGGTGGGGTGGTGACAAGGCCCCATGTGGGGCCCCAGCGGTCATACGTGCCTTGGTTGGCAGTGACAGCTGGGTGTGGGGGGGCACAGTCTTTGCAGTGGGGGGTGGCCTTTGGCAAGGGGGCTCCTACAGGGGTCTTCTGCGGGCCCTGGGCCCCAACCTTGGACAGGCAGGGGGAAGGGGCACTGGGGGGGGGATGAGCAGAGAGAAATGGGGGGGGACGCGCAGGGGGAGGGGCCAGGCGGTGATGGACAGGGCGGGGGCTGGCAGCGCGGGACCGGGATCGGGGTCATGGCCCGGGCACTCACCGCTCTCCTGCTCGCTGCCCTTCTTGGCGGCTGCGGCGTTGCCCATCGCGGCGACGGCGGCCGGGGCCGGTCCCGG